CCATGGTTTCCGATAATGAAGAGGACATTATCGAAGAGCCGCCAGAAGGCGAGCCTATAAATGTGTCCGATGATGACACAGAGGTAGATCGAGCACAAAGCTCTCCCTCATACCCCCCAACGGAGCACATGACCTTAAGACGACGTACAAATATCAAAAAACCAAAACGGTATGATATTCAGCTCAATGAAGCCGAACTTGACGAACCAAAGACTTATAAACAAGCGATGTCCTCACCATACGCCAAACAATGGCAACAAGCAATGCAGGACGAAATCAACTCAATAAAATCTCACGGTGTTTGGTCCCTAGTAGACCCACCTAAAGATAAGAAACCTATCACCTGTCGATGGGTATATCGAGTAAAAACCAACGCTGAAAACAAGCTTGACAGATTCAAAAGTCGGCTCGTCGCGCGCGGATTTCACCAAGTAGAGGGGATCGACTTCAATGAAACCTATGCAAGCGTGGCTCGATTTGATACATTACGAGTATTCCTGGCCATCAGCGCTGCTAAAGGTATGAAGCTAAAACAATGCGATATCAAAACTGCCTTTCTCTACGGAGATCTCGAGGAAGAGGTATACGTAACTCAACCTCCCGGCTTCGAGGATGGCACAAACCGAGTTTGCTTACTTCATAAAAGCTTATACGGTCTGAAACAATCGCCCAGATGCTTCAACAAGAAACTTGCAGAAGTCCTGAAGAACCTCAACTTGACTCAAAGCCAAGCAGACAATTGTCTCTTCTACAAACGCGCAGAAAACGAACTAATTCTACTCGTCGTCTACGTCGATGACATGATGATAAGCACCTCCAGCGATCGTCTTATGACAGAAACACTGGATGGCATATCGAAAAATTTTACAATCACGACATCCCCACCAGGTCTTTTCCTCGGGATGCAAATCACTGTTGATAAAGCCAACAATATCTGGATCAATCAAGAAAAATATACCAAGAACGTTTTGAAGCGATTCGAGATGCAAAACTGTCGCGCTCAATCCATACCAGCTGATTCAGGAATTTACTCAATCGAGCAAGCGACAACGCCTGAATCGAAACGTCCTTATCGAGAAATCATCGGAAGCTTGATGTACCTCGCGATAGCCGTCAGAGTCGACATTGCCTTCATCGTCGGCTGGCTCAGTCGCTATCTAGACAATCACACCGAAGCTCATTGGAACGCAGCTCTAAGAGTCCTGCGCTATTTACAGGGTTCCACCGATCTGTCAATCGTGTACTCAGGCAACGGTGATCCAACCCTTACCAAAAGCCTAGAATTTTACACGGACGCCGATTACGCAGCGTGCAAGGAAACGCGTAGAAGTGTAAGCGGTCTTGTTTGCAAACTAAACGGTGGTCCAATTCTATGGCAATCCCAAGCTCAAAAATCAGTCAGTCTGTCAACTACAGAAAGTGAATTCATAAGTGTCACTGAAGGAGCTAAATCAGCCCTGTGGCTCAAGATCCTATACAACGAATTGAACATCCATGGTCACTCCGACCATTTACGTGGACAACCAAGCGGCAATAAAACTCATCCAAAATCCGCAGTTCCACAAACGGACCAAACACATTGACGTCCGCTACATGTTCATTCGAGAGACTCACGAAAACAAACAGCTCAGATTCGAATATATACAAACTCAAAAACAATTAGCAGACCTTCTGACGAAAGCACCAGCCAAACCGATATTCGAGAATCTTCGGAATCTGATCGGTCTGAGAAAATGGTCTCCAAAATAATGATGATCGTGATGCTCTTGACATCACTCTCGTCAGCGACCCCGAACTATTTCACTTACGACGACTGTCCAACCGAATGTACAACGAAAAACATCAGCTGCATCATTGAGAAAAATCCAATCAATTTCCTGAGACGATGCACACCTTCCAACTCATCCTGCGCGGAAGAAGCGAATGACAGCACAGCCTGTCTCAGGCCAAATCTACCGCCCATTGGAGGCGAATCTATCTGGCTAGAATTCAAGGAAAAATTTCATCCTGAAAAGAAGCCAGACGACAGCAACTCTGATTTGTTGCACATGGCCCTCGCCATCGGCAGTGCGATACTCGCACTTGCGCTGATCATTGCGATCACAACTCTGTGCATGCTTTCCAGTTCCCGAACCAATTATGAGCTCATACCAACAATCCCCAGCGATAGCATGCAAAATGTCGTTGACTTCCCATACCAATCAACTACAATCCCAGCTTAATTAAGATCATAATCACTTGATTACAGATCGAACCCCGGCTTAAAACCTCCCTCGATTAAAACAACCACCCGCTGAAATCTCTAATTCGAACGTTTTTTTTTTCGCTTGCTGTGCCTAATAACAAAACCCAGATATGAACCAAGAATCAGTGAAACCCAAGAAGAAATGTAAACCCCAGCCATACTGGATTTTCGCACTAGAATATCAGAAAAAACACCATATACCCGATATAGAAACCCTCAAAATTGTAACCGACGAACCATGGCGAAAGATGACCGAAGAGGAAAGAAGACCATACAGAGAGAAAGCCCGACAACAACGCGGCCAAATCGAACCAGAACCATGTCCTAGGAAGGACTGTCAACACAACGTGGAAGCACTAGAAATACTCAAAAAGGCTAACGAATCATTACGACAGCAATACTGGCAATACAAAGAAATAACAGAAAGAAAAATCCTGAACCTCGAAAACAAATCACTCCCTGAACCGACAGAAGAGGAAATACGAAGACGAAATCGCCTAACTCCAACAGCATGGAGTCCAGCAGAAATCGACTACCTCCACTCCTCGGAAGATGACTCCAAGTGAAGACACAAACATCAAAACGAGAAAAATCGCTTCTTTCTCTCATTCGTTCTTTCATCTGAAAAACATCAATCTCAATTCCTGACAACTTCCTCGAAATTCTCGAAGTTCTTGCATTCCAGTAAAGGATTACTGGGCACCGGCAGAACAGAAACAAGTTCAGGCTTCGTAAGACTCAGCAGACGGACACAACGCCGATCTTCCGGACAGTAACATACAAGAAATGTTTTAACAGGACGACATGCACACTCGGACAACTCAATAAATACATCCGGAGAAGCTGTGGTCACCGGGGAACTCGCAGTCGTTGGAGAAACCGGCGGAGCCGTCGTGCCGAAAATTATCACGGTTTCGGTTGTGGTGGACACGTTGACGACCTCTTCACGGCGAAAATGGAATCCCCGAGCTGAAATCAAACCACATTATAACCAGCCATCATGCATAATCATTCACAGCAACCAATCAACAATCAATATAATACGAAGAATATCCTACCCAACATAACGACAACGGCAATCCACATCAAAATGAATAACCATGAGGTCATGCAACAGCACGACCATCGACTCCGCTGTCTCCCGAAACGTCCTCCAGAGTTCTCCGACGGTCCACTCCCGACGGATTCAAACACACCGTCCTGACCGACGGCACCCAACTCCACGATGTCCTCCATTTCGTCGATGACCTCCTCCAACCGAAGATGTCGAACACCGTTCCTCTGATCACGAGTCACGAGTACAGTAAGAGCGTCCCGATCGTGTCTCAACCATGACGACCTCTTCAAATTTTTTTTTCCTCCTCCTTCCAACAAACGAAGACAAATTTCTAACACGCCGTGAAACACGACTCGATCAACAAAGAACATAAGCGGAACCCAGACATGAATAGCTCACAAAACTAACGGACTTAAATTCTTTCCCTCACGAAAATCTCTGACTCAACGAAAAAGAAGCTACGAAATCAACCTCAACCAACTTTATTGAAAATATCTTCATTTACGATCCCTCGACACTGACTCGGAGGGGAATACTGCAAAAGCTTTTACTCCTCAGTGTCTCGGGATCCGAGATATTGGGAAAAATAACTTCTCAGCTCTATCGCGCTTCGCTGCACCATATTCGCAACACCGATCCGAACGATCCAGACACTCCGAGCGAGTGCTCCCCCGCACTGTCTCCAAAACACGCTGCCGCCGCACGCAGGCGCCGATCATCGCGAACTTTCTCGACGAAAAATCGAAATTTCGAACGGACTCGAATCAACGCTGTACGAATTATTCGCATATATTCTCGCATGGCAAAGTATTATCTATCTCACAACTACCACTCATTTTACACCTATTTTCGGACCAAAATTGTCCGAATTTTCGCTTAGAAGCCTTCGATGTTACCTATTAGAGGGGATGTTGAGACTAACTTTAGAATAGCTACACTCATTCTTCTAAGCTAAGCTTTCTGTCATATCTATTTCGGTAAACCCCGACTCCGTACTGTGCCACGTGCCAGAGGCTCCAGCTCTGACACATGTCAGAGGCTCCACTCATCAGGCCTCTCTTCTGATTCCGTATTTAGTAACCATCTGGAAATCTTACTCGATGCCTTACGAACTGTGCCTCTCGGAGAGGGTCAACCTACTGATATATAAGACGACACTTTCTCCAATAAAATTACTGTGGTGTGCTCCCATCTCAACCTCCGGTTGTCCTCTCTGAGCTCGTACGTGTCCCGCTGATCTACCGAACCTAGCCTTCGACCAATCTAGGAACAACAGTTTCCCACAACGGAGAAGTCGGCGCCAAAAAGCTGCGACTGCACTGAGATAGTTCGTAATAACCTCCGATAACAATTTTACCAAATTAAACGACTAATTACTCGATCTTGCAGATCTAACTTGTCACTCTTCTCCGCTACGAAGAGTCGAGAGGAAGAGTAACCTAACCTAACCTCCTTTTTTTTTGCGGGGCCAGGAATAAAAATGCGTGTTGCAGACCGTGCACAGCGCCTCACGGTACTGTGGGAGTCGCAAACCCACTAAAAACCTGGTGGTTCCCCAACCCCCGCTTTCGAGCGGGGGCGCCGCTCTCATGGACGGAACTGGGTTAGCAATACTTCGAACACATGAGAGCGGGAGCTGCTCTTACCCCCTACTCTGACCCCCTCTACCAGCAAATTTGTGCGTTGTCGTGTGGCGTTGTAAGTGATGACCGTGGGTTGTTGTTGTGTAACGTGGTAGATGGTGAACGTTTTAGATTGTACGTGTCTATGTCACGACGGTTGCCAGCCGCCGGTTTCTCCCCCTACTCTAGTGGTCAGGGTTATCCCTCGCCCCGTCGTCACAGAGGTTGCAGATGTCTGACTCGCGCTTCCCGATTCGTTTGAGGAACTCTCGGAAAGCGCCGTGGCCTGTAATGAACTGTGTCAATTCGTAAGTCAACTCTCCGTGTTCTCTATGACACCATTTGTCTATGTTCGGGATAAGTTTTCGGATTCGAGCTCCCCTGCCATCTGCTGGGTGAGCTGACCAACTTTCCTGCCAGATACCGATGCACTCCTCCTCGTAGTTCGTTGGGCTTCTGGCTCCGTTCCGTAAGTCTGAACTTGATGTCCCAGGGTATCATCCGGCCGATGACGAAGACGCCTGGAGTGAAGACGGTCTTATACGCTCTGCTTACCCTTATTGCCGCCACCCTCTGGCTCTTGGTGAGTAGATCTCTGATTTTTCGTAGCTTGAGAGCCTCTTCCCAGACGGGCAGTCCGTAGGAGACTATTTGCTCGCTGACTTTCGCCAAGAGCTTCCTCTTTCCCTCCTCGGTGCTGGAGGTCCTAGCAAGGTTTCGGTTAATGTCGTTCGCGGCTTTAGCAGCTTTTCTACAGACGTCTTCTATATGCTTCACGTATGTAAGTTTCCTGTCTAGTGTGATGCCTAGATACGTGACCGAGTCGTTTATACTTATCCTGTTACCCTTGTGGTGTATATCCAGTCGGCATCTTTGGCGCCTTCTGGAAAAAGCCATTGCTTCTGATTTCTGCGGGGCCATTTCAAGCCCCAGGCCACTTAGGTGCTCGTCTACGAGCTCGATGCACTCGTTTGCCCTGCGTTCGACAACCTTCTGGTCCGTGTCCTTAACGACGACCACGATATCATCGGCGTAACCTATGATCTCGCAGCTGAATGGTAGCTTGAGTTTGAGAATACCGTTGTATGATAAGTTCCAGAGTGTCGGGCCGATTATTGAGCCCTGGGGGACCCCGGCCGACATCAGTTTCTTGAGCCCGCCGCTGCTAATCTCTCTCTCCCTGAAATAGCTTTCCAGAATGCTCGTTAGTTCATTCGAAACTCCGTTCTCCCTCAGGCTGCTTCTGATAGCTGTCCAGCTTAGGGAATTGAAAGCGTTCTTAACATCAATGAGGATCGCCAATACGATTTTTCTGCTACCTAGGTTGCTCTTATCAAATTCCTGTTCTACCTGTTCGGTGAGTCTCTTGATCGCCTGGATCGTCGATCTCCCTTTGCGAAATCCGTACTGGTTATCATGTACCAGGCGTCTGGAGCGCGGCCTTCGGCCGCGCTCGTCTCTTTCCCGTGCGTTCCCGGGGAGCGCATTGTAACTCTGTAAGTGCAGGCTTCTCACGAAGATGACGACGCGTCGCAAAAAAAAACGACCAAATTCCTGCCTGAAATTTCGGCAATATCGAAAGCAAAAGTGGTTGTCGATGTTTCTGGATTCAAAAATTATCTCAAGTTGATGTCATGGAAAGCTGGCAAAGGCAAAGCGCGGTTCGTTTACGTTTTGGCCGTCAACCTTGGTCAGGTCAAGATCAGTGTGGGGCAAAATCATAATCACACGTGTGATTATGATTATAATCATAGTCATAATCATAGTGTCGTGTAGCTCACGGAATTGGTGGTGACATCAGACACCTTAGGGCTCGAGTGTCACCCGTGGCCATGCCTATGCTAGCTCGCGGCCAGAGAGATCCTCGCGCGCTGCATTTTTCTAGAATAAAGTCAGTCTGCGAGTAGTCACTAATGGTGACACATCGGCTCCCGGAAATCTAGTGTTTTCACTCGACAGACACAACATCTGGTTCCGACACTGCCGAATCGATATTCGTGCGGGACTCCTAGTGATCAAACGGCATCTTCGAAATCCCGGAAAAAGTGACTGAAAGTTGTTCGGAGTCCGAAACTCGGACAGAGCTCATCCAAACAAGAAACTATCTGGAGGAAAACGTGTGAGAGACGATCTCTTCAGTGTCACCCCTAGGATTAGAAGAAACTTCAAAATGACGGAAACAGCGATCCTCGACGAGAGACTAAAAACTGAGGTAAAGGCGAATCTGAACCGACTGATTCCCGTCTTCCGCCATAACGAAGAAGCGAACGAGTACTTCGACAACTGGATTGACCGATGGGGGAAAGTCATCGAAAGGGATGGCGTCCACCTGTCTGAGGCTGAAAAACAGGCCATCATTATCAACAAATTAGGCGATAGTGAACATTCACAGTTCCGAACGTACATGCTGCCCACCGATATCTATGAAGTTCCCTTAAAGCAAACCCAGCAGGTCCTGCGGTTCTTGTTCAAGCCCACAGTATCGCTTTTCTCGCGTCGCATGGATTTCTTCCAAACGCAACGAGAGGGCAGGACACTCACGGATCTGTTGGGCATCGTCAATACTAGATTCGAGAGGGCTGAAATGGACGCAAATACCTTCACAACGGAACATCTGAAGTGTTTCATTTTCATCTCTGCTCTGAATGATCCAGAGGACGCGGCGTTAAGGCAACGAGCGATCAGGAAAATGGACGAACAGCCAGACACGAATCTGAGAAGCCTGCACTACGAACTTCAGAAATTCCTAGAGTCAAAGCGTTCCCTGCTGGCTACCAGAAAGTCTGGTGATAGCATGATTAATGAAATTCATGCAAAGACTCCAAGCAAATCTTCCGCGGCCGTCCGCCCAGCGAACAACGTCAAATGTTACCGCTGTGGGAGATCGAACCACAATCAAAATGATTGTCGTTTCCGCGAAGCCAAATGTCACAACTGCGCCAAAACCGGTCATTTGGCTATTATGTGTAGACTGTCGGGGAAGAAAACACCAAATTCAAATCCGAACAGAAGAGTGAATCGGATAGAGGCAGATAAACAAAACCCAGAGATCGTGAGGAAGGTCATGATCGATAACATGCCAGCAACCTTGACGGTCGACACCGGGGCTGCCGTCACCTTGATCCCCATGTCCTTATGGAAAAAGCTAGGCTCTCCGGGGTTGGAGCCTTCGTCGATAAAACTGACAACCGCAAGTGGAGGTCCCTTACTTACGCATGGGAAACTCAATGTGAGAGCCAGAATGAATGGGCAGGAGTTCCCGGCGTGCTGCTACGTCACGGATAAATGTGCTCTCCTCGGTCGCGACTGGTTAGTAAAGGACCGAGAGTTGATGAAGGTCTTAGCACAAACATCGAAAAAATTCGACACCCCGATCGAAACAGTGAAGAAAAATTGTGTCGGAGAAGTGGTCCCTCTTCCGACGAGAAAAGGCGCACTGAAGATGGAGAATCGTGAGCAAACGACGAAAACTCCAGCGAATGCCAAATTAGAAGAAGATCTGAAGAAAGAGATTCAACAGAAGTTCCCAGCTGTGTTCAACGAGGGATTGGGAAAGTGTACGACCGGAAAAGTGAGACTGTCGTTGAAGGAGAACACCAAGCCGATCTTCAGAAAAGCGAGATCGGTGCCTTACGCCGTCCTGCCAGCTCTCTCCAAAGAGCTGGAGCGACTCGTGAAATTAGGGGTACTGAAACCGACCACAAATTCGGAATTCGCTGCGCCCGTGGTTGTCGTCAGGAAGAAGGGAGGAGAAATCAGGCTTTGTGCCGATTTTTCCACAGGACTCAACAACGCTCTGCAGGACGACAAGTACCCATTGCCGACGGCACAAGATATTTTCAGTCGATTAGCTGGAGGAAAATTTTTCTCCAAAATCGACCTCGCAGAAGCGTATCTGCAAATTGAAGTCCACCCCGATGATCGAAATCTAATCACGATCAACACGCCCAAAGGATTATTCGAGATGACCAGATTACCTTTCGGACTGAAGACTGCACCGAGTCTCTTCCAGAGGATCATGGACGAGACTCTTGTGGGAATTCCAGGAACAGCCATATATCTCGACGATATTTTGGTGACCGGGCGAACAGCCAAAGAGCACCGCGATAGGGTTCTCAAGGTTATGGCTAAAATCCAGAAAGGTGGATTCCGTATCCGGATGGAGAAATGTTCCTTCCTACAAAAGCAGATCAAGTATCTCGGGTTCATAATTGATGAACACGGGAGGAGACCCGATCCCGCGCAAATCCGTCCTATCGTCGAGCTTCCAACTCCTAAAGATGCTAAGGATGTCCAAGCATTCCTTGGACTCGTAACATTCTACTCGAATTTCATCCCCGACATGAAGAGAATCAAAGAACCGCTGACACCACTCCTGAGGAAAAACGTCAAGTTCGTATGGACCGAACGATGCGAAGAAGCCTTCGAGCAAGCTAAGAAGATATTGCAGAGCGACTTGGCATTGACCCACTACGATCCCCAACTTCCGCTGGAGGTCTCAGCTGACGCTTCGCAGTCAGGGGTGGGCGGAGTGCTCCTGCATACTTTCCCCGATGGCTCCAAGAAGGCGATAATGCACGTGAACAAGGTTCTCACTGAGACCGAGAAACGTTACGGGCAAATCGAGAAGGAAGCGCTAGCTCTGGTGTTTGCAGTGAAAAAGTTCCATAAATATATTTATGGCCGCCACTTCATTCTCAACACAGATCACAAGCCCTTGTTGTCCGTCTTCAAAGTGGACGGGGGCCTACCAGGATTCAGCGCAAATCGCTTACAGCGTTGGGCGTTGATCCTCGCTGGATACGATTTCACGCTACGGTTCAAGAACACTACAAGTTTTGGTGAAGCAGATGCGCTCTCTCGACTCATAAAGGAGAAGCGAGAAACCGAG